TTGGAACGTGTTGTTGGCATCAAATTCAAAATGGGCAAATATTTTTCAAAAAACAATAAAATTTCTCAGTTTCAACATTTGATATGTTGTCTTTGTACTATTTTCAATGAAATCTAGGGTTTAAATGATTTACACATCATTGCATTTTGTTTTATTTACATTTTGCACAGCGTCCCAACTTTTTTTGGAAATGGGGTTGTATATCATCTCAAGCCAAATATACTTAGACTTTTCTGTATACTTCTGTATACTTTTCTGTCAGTATAAGCCAAGTACACTTCAGCATAATTTTGTTTAGCAGGCTGGGTTTCCATTCAAATGTTGTACAAATGTAATGCGCATTAATGAAATTTCAGCAAAATTTAATTCGTGTTTCCAACCACAGCTCAGAGACGTCTGGTAGGACAAGCAATGGCATCCTAATCAAGGCTGAAATCTCCACCTCGATGATGTCCACCTTGCATCATACCAGACAATTCTGGGAGCTCATGGTGCAGAGCCATATTTCAAACAAGTTTTGGATCAGGCATTTTCGAATGCTGACAATGGCAACCTTCGAAATGCTAAGCGCCACGATTGGACCATCTGTAGGAATCATGGAATTATGTAACTCATGGCTTGATCGTCATCATTTACACGAAGAACCCTTTTCCATCACCCTTTTTTGATATTCTAACTTTTTCAGCTTGTCCAAGCTTAAAACTCTTCTTGTGACAACTGTGTGTTTTGAATTTCAGGCTTTTTCCATTGTTTTCTTTTTGCACTTTTTCAAAATCTGTAAAATGTTGGTGGATGAAAAATCCGCTACTGATAAGTTCATGAAAAGTAAACTGAAAGTGTACTTAGTTTTAGTTTTATAGAAGTTTGCTAATAGCACACCTGAATAAACCTCTTTTTTGTAAGGCACAGCAAAGAACATCCAGCTGGAAACACAGACAACACAGCACTGACGCATCAGGATTGTGTACCAATCCTGAGAGTTATTAAACCAAGATATTGGGAAAACAGAACCCTTTATGAACTGATCTTCCCAAGTCGATACAGTCTGCTTTTGTCTTATGATGAATGTGTACACACGTCTATGCAATCTTTAAAAATAACAATTCCTTTTATTAAAAAACTTACAGTTCTAGTTCATTTTCCACCAGCTTAAAAACAGCTGGAACTGTTATAATAACCATGATTAACAATTTAATGTTATTTGTGGTCATTTTATGTCAAATGATCTCATTTGGGATAACCTTGCCTGCTATTTAGCTTATCTTATTGGCAGCGCACACTCACCGTCGTCTACATTTACACAGTCATGTGTAGAATCAAACAAAAAATGTTTTTCTGTGTGGAAAGTGGCCACTAGAAAACATACTGATAGCATTAGCTTCTAAACTACATCACTTTCTGGTGAACTCTCTACAAAGTATTAATTCCAAAAATAGCAATCAACACCTGAACATACTGTCTACATCCTGGTGCTCATCTTGGTGATGTAATTGTTTGTCAACTTCATCTGGAAGAGTAAGTGGTTCCCCAACAATGCTTCAGACATCAGGCAGTGTTTTCAAAACCACTTCATGTAGTAACTTTCTGTGAGCTTTTAGAGGTGGACGTCTGGTTCCCATCACCACCACTGTGAACAGTTCTGACTCACACAATGCCTTGTATCGTCACTAGCCTCTAGCGTGTTTTCTGCCAGACCTCTCACGTTGTTATTTCGGCCTACAGGTACAACATGGAGTATAAAGGAATGATTGATGCCTGTAGAGCCTTTTTCTCCAGCACAAAGAAACTCATAGAATCACAGCTTTGTAATTCGCAATTGTCTTGTAACACTTATAAGAATCAGCCCTATTTGTTGTGGAGCCCTGAAGCCATGGGATCACTCAGCGGTTCGTCATAGTGGTTAGTGCCAGCGGGAGAGTGATAGACTCCACCGCCCACGAAGGCTCATCCGTAACATCATCACTTTGCTCGTGCAGATATTCATATTGATCTGTTCATTCTGTGCTTGTTCTGCACTATAAATAGCGCTCTCTCTGTTGTAGGCCTGAGATTCCAGGTGCTCCAACACAGCTCGGCATTGGTTTGATGATTCTTGCACACCTTGAAGCCGACGTTATTTATTGTGTTTGGTGTGTGTCTGTGTGTGTGTGTGTGTGTGTGTGTGTGTGTGTGTGTGTGTGTGTGTGTACACATGTATTTATAAAACCCTCTTCACTTTCATTGGGCTGTTGTTAAATTGATGCGGTCAGTATTGATCTGACCCAGTTATGTGCTAGTAATTTTGATGAATTGGGCGTATTGGACATTTGCTCAATATCAATAACGATCTAAAAAGAGAGTAACAAAAACACATCCAAGGTCACCCCAGATGGCCAAGATGCCTCAGCATTGCTTTAATGTAAATTTTATAAATACTAGGAGACTTTAGCTGCAAATTATGATGGAAAGAAACACATTCAGAGTTGAGGTTGCAAGTAAGCATTAACCCATAAATGGTCAGGGCCCACCGGCAGACCCGAAGTTTATTACACGCTTCTATAACTTAAGAACAGCTCAGCCAGTTTGCACTTAAGTCCCTGTAGTTACTGAATAACATGCCTTAGTATGTAATAAAGCCTGGGATTTTAAGTGGTTAAAGGAATAGATCGGCAAGAATTTTGGCAAGAACTTCAACTTGAGTGTTGTAAAGCGCGCCGCCACTGGGCTCTGGAGCAGTGGAAGCGTTCTCTGGAGTGACGAATCAGCTTCACTGTCTGGCAGCCTGATGGATGAATCTGTGTTTGGCAGATGCCTGGAAATTGCTACCTACTGGAATATGCCAACAGTAAAGTTTGGCTGAGGAGGGATAATGGTCTCAGGCAGTTTTTTCAGGGTTTGGGCTCGGCCTCTTAAGCTATGTTCACATTACCAGGCTGAAGTGGCAGAACTTTTTTTGCCTTAATGCGACTGATGTTTTCTGAGGTGTGGACACACAAATCTGATCTTTTCAAAACTGAGCTTCTATCATATGTGGTCCTAGATCGGATTCCGTTTTGTGGCCATGTGGCCTTAATGAGAACGTTCAGATCAGAATTCATGTTCATTTCACTGCCCATGCGCCATCGCTCAATGCGAACTTGAACTAGTTAGTTCTGCAAAAGCACCTTTTTCTCCTTCGTCTTGCATTTATAACGAACAGCTGAGAGGACACGGGTGCGTTCAGATTAATGACAGTCACTCCAAACAATAAATTGGAATTTAACAATGAGGCTTGTAATGTGAACGTAGCCATAGGTCCAGTGAAGGGTGATGTTCCAGCTTTGTGGCAGCAGTTTCGAGAAGGCCCTTTCCTGTTCCAGCATGACTGAGCCCCTGTGCACAAAGTGAGCTCAATAAAGACACAGTTTGACAAGTTTGGTGTGGAGGAACTCCAACGACCTGCACAGATCCCTGACCTCAACCCCTCTGAACACCTTTAGGATGCACTGGAACGTCGACTGTGAGCCAGGCGCTCTCGTCCAACATCAGTGTCTGACCTCTCAAATGCTCTTTTGATTGAAATCCCCACAGACATTCCAAAATCTTGTGGAAAGCTTCCCAAAAGAGTGGCGGCTGATTCAGCTATATTAATGGCCATGGTTTTGGAATGGGATGTCCAGCTCATATAGGTGTGATGGTCAGGTGTTCACATACTTTTAGCCATGTTGAGTATAAGGCTAACATTGCTGATAAACACTAGAAGTCAATAGTCACCTAAATCTTTTCTGTAACATCCCCAAAACTTCTTTAAATCTGATCAAACCTCATCAAAGTCTTCATTAAGGTCACACAGACTTGTTGATGTGATTAAGGAAACAGTATGACTTGCTAGTCATAACCAGTAATTTCATTGTAGGACGAATCTAGTTTTAAGTTGGGGAGCAGCTAGCAAGCATTAAGGCCCAGAGACATCACTATAGTGAAGCCGGTCACTTATTCACAGCACTGAACTACTTGCTAGCTGGATAAGTAGCATATAGGAACCGGCACAACAAGCTAAATGGAGTTGGAAATGAAATAGTGGAGCAAACTAATACTGTTAACACTTTGGCATTGCAAAGATCAAAGTGATCAAAGGCGGCATCCAGGTATGTAAACGTTGCTATGATGAAAGTGGACGTCCACCAAAAACTATGTGAGATGGAAAAAAATCACGAGGATGGAAGAGCTCAGCAAGAACCCATGTAGACCTCACATATTTTAATACCGCATTGCACTGGCATCGAAGAATATCAGGGGGTCTGGATTCCAAGTGGATTCCAAGCTCTAAGCCCACCCCCAGCTATGTATCTTCTGTGTAGCTAAACATAGCAAACAGCCAATTTGGAACAACAGGGGTGCGGTGCTGAAATCTGACCCCCCGCGTAAGCGACTCCTCTTCACATGCCGATTCCTGTTTTTTTAAACATCTATTTTCAGTTAGAAAATTCAACAGCTATTTATAAAAAGAACAGAGATCACAAATGTAATCTGTGGCATCCATGTGTGACAGAATTCAGCACAGCATGGTGAAGTTTAGTTCACTTTAATGGCTCACATCAACATAGACTGACCATACGTCCTCTTTTTCCAGGATATGGATTGTCTGGGATTTGGATTTGCTTTGTACATTTGCTTTCTGTTGTCTGCCCCGTGCTGCCCTCCTGCCTCCAATGTCCTCTTTTTTTGAAAACCAAAATATGGGTCATAATGTGTCCTACAGCTCATTGAGAAGTCAGGGCCTTAATGAAGACCTGAGTGTGGTAAGAGCAGGTTAAGAGACATTCTGTGGATGTATTTACAGGAAAGATTTGGGTGACTATTGACTTGTATTCTATTCGATTTAGGCACTAAATATGTCTCAAATGACTGACTACATCTGGGGTGAGTGGAAAACTGGGTAAATTAGATTTTGTTCCCCTCCCCATTTCTTTACTAAAACATCACAGTGACTTTGTTGTGTGTGTTGCTTGCTGAAAAAGCTTAATGAACGAGACAGGGAGTTACAATTTCTCACTAAATATATTTACATGACATACAGTTCGCCATCAGTGCAATACATAGGAATGTTGCATAATTACCAAATGTTAAACTCTTTCCTTTGTAAAGAAAAATAAACCAAATAATGGAGGTTGAAATGACTCAAATATAAACCAACATTTACAACTTCCACGTCCGATTAAACAGCTCCACAGAAATAATTCCCAAATAAACATTTCAGAATCACCCCGTTGACAATCAGACATAGCATCGCCTAAAAGAAAGAAAAAATCAATATCGCACATGTACACAGCATATACTTATTTTTTTATACAGGTGATGAATTGCTTTTGTACAAACATTTTTTTTCTTTAAATATAACTTTGGCAGTTTGTCAGAAACAAAAGTTATCTGAGAAAATGAAAAGACAATGTCAGACTCACGGCAATGAAATGTGTGAGATTGCCTTTCGAAGCGCATGTTCACAGTGATAATTCTGAAAGGCTGGAAGCCTATGATCAAAACCGAACGGAAAAAAGCCCGAAACGAAATGAAGAAAAACAAAACGCTCCACCCCATCCTGCCTGCTCTGGTTAGCACTGAAGGCGGTCCTCATTGTCGTCAATGGCTATAAAATTACAAACACCTATGAAGAGTTACATAGCAGTCATCGCCGTTTAAAAAAACATGGTCTCGTTTTAAAGTCGGCACAAAATACAAAGAGTCTGAGAGGTCGAGGGGCCCGAGGCTCCAGGACCACTTTAGTGAGAATACATGGGAGAGACATGATTGAGAACGAAATAAAGCAACATGCACAACCAGCGGCGCTGTCGGAGACGGAGAGAGAGAGAGAGAGAGAGAAGGAAAAGCAGGATGAAAAGAACGAAAAGAACAAGTCAGCAAACGAAACAACAAACAAAAAAAAGAGAAATAAATGCTACACACTTAGAGAGAATGACACACACATACACACATCCACACAAGGACAAAAGAGTCGAGCAAATTTAAAAGATCACCAAGTTCACCAATAATTGTTATGATTTCGTTTTAATCGTTCTTTTTTTCTCGTTGGGTTTGGCACTTTATCTGAACAAATACCTGTTCAAAAAGACTAATCGTCATACAAAAAAGTATTCAATGTCTCCTTAACGTAACTGTAGAATATATTACTTAATAGTGAGCATACAGTAGGTAAACACTTTTAGTACGTACGTTTTAGTTTTAAAATGAACATTCCAACAGATGTTTTACGCACATGCACAGAAACAAACAACACGACGCTCTTGCGCTGTTGGGATATCCTCTCTGATTTGGTTCCCTTCTCGCTTTTTTTTTGCTCTTCTCTTTTTGCTCTTTTTTTCTTTTTTCTTACGACACCTCCTCGGCCGACCGCGTGTCTGATTTGAGGCGTACGAACTCCTTGGCCACCTCGTCATTGGTCCTTTGTGAGAGTATTCTCAAGATGGTCAGGCCCGTTTCGTCCATGGTGACGCTGCGGACGAGAGGGTACGAGGCGTTCAGGCTGACCTTGTCGGTCAGTTCTCGGAGCTGGAGCACGGTCATGCCGATGATTCGGTCCTCGCGGGCGAAACAGTAGTCCTTCACCGACACGTGCAGCTCGTAGGCCTCCGGCCCGTGTTCGTTACTCAGGATGCTGAGGAGGAAAGAGGGAGCGCTCGTTAACTCTAAAACACTACACACTTAAAAAAAGAGGGCTCCTTCATGGGTTCTTTAGTAAAGAAATGGTTCTATATAGAACCATGAACAGTCAAAGAACGTGCTACATGAATAAGTGGTTCTTTGCACGGTGAAATGGTTCTTCAGATTGACGGAGAACGTGCTGTGGATAGTTCTATATAAAACCTTTTTTAAAAGGTTCTATATAGCACCAAAAATGATTCTTCTATTGTTAAAAAGCCTGGCATCGCACACTCTTAAAGAGACGGTTCAAGCATTTTATTAGGAAACAGTTCTACAGAAAACCATGAACACTCAAAGAACCATTTTTGAAAAGGGTTCTATATAGTGCCTAAAAAGGTTCTTTTATTCTAACAAGCTTGTCACTGTACACTCTTAAAAAAGATGGTTCTTCAAGGGTTCTTTAGGAAACAGTTCTACATAGAAACATGAACACTCGAACTCTTTGCATGATTACATGATTAAAGGGTTTTTTTTTACATCATGAAAGGTTCTTCAAATTGTCGGAGAATGTGTTGTAGATGGTTTTCTATAGAACCCTTTTTGAAAATGGTTCTGTATAGCACCAAAAAGCGTTCTACTATTGTTACAAGAACAATAGTGGGACCCTTTGATGTGTTGATTGCTATTTTTAGAATTATTACTCTAAAAAAAGAGTGCTAAGTTGGGAAAAGTTAGTTCGGAAGCTAACACTAGCACTATTAGCATTTTTGCTAGCCAAACGTTTTTGCTCATATTTCCACACTCAGGGAAGAAAATATATAAACGTTGTAAGGTTCTACAGAAGATTCTGCGTAAAAGTAGACACTTTATGAAATTGTGAGCACAGAACAGTGCAGTACACTGTTTTCTGACAGCCAATAAGTAAAACTAACTAGTAAGCAAGGAAATTAATTAGCCAAATTAATGCTTTAGTGTGACACAAAGACTGTTAAATCAATTGATTGCAGTAATTATAATATTAAATTGTTAACTGCAGTAATTATGATGGGTCCAGATGGTCTCAAGCAGGTAGAAAACAAATTAGAACTAAGTTCAACCAGTAGCTACACTGCAAAAAACAGTATCTTGTCAAGTAAAATTATATTAAATTTAGTCAATTTATCCAATGTTTCTCCTGTTAACATTGTTGTAAGCATAATTTAAGATTATTTAACTTATTTCCAACATTTTTTACTTGTTTTAAGTAATTTTATTAGTACAGTGAGATCATTTTACTTAATAAAATAACTTGAAACAGGCAAAAAAGTTCTAAACTTATAATAAGTGCACAATCATCGCAAAATAAGAAACAGTAGATATATCAGTTAGAATTAAGATCATTATATTTGACACAATACTGTTTTTTTGCAGTGCAGTCCTGGAGACCACTATACTGTTTTAACATCATTGTGCTGGTTTCCTATATAAGTGATTTTTATAATTCTTTCCATTTAAATCTTTGGCTTGTTCATCTGCTTCAGATGATCTCAGACCAAATCTGATCCTGAGCCCATCAAATGCTGGATGTTCCTGCAGTAAAACATAAGAAAAGTTGATAATCAGTTTTCTGTTTGATGCTCTACTTTGAATTCTTTACCTAAGATCCATCAGGCCAGAAGAGCAGAGCAGACACTGAATGTCCACTGTAGTTCCACTGTAGTTCTATAAAGTAATGGCTCTCAAGCTGGTCCTCAGGAACCCCCAGATAGTCCACATTTCTGATCAATCCCAACTCACAATGCATATGGATCGAACAAAAATGTGGACTGGCTTGAGGACCACTGCTAAAGGGAACTTGATACTGGAGGAGTTTCTGGACCTGATATTTAAGTGTTTTTTGCTGTTCTACTTTTATTTTGAGTCTCTATTTCGACTTTTATTGGGATGGGTTTAAGCTCCTCCACTCACAATGGATTGTCTAGTTTTTCGTTACGGTGCAATATGATTCCTCAAGGCCCAAATCAGCAAGAAGGCATTTCAATCCTCTTTGATGTAAATGAAAACTGTCAGGAATCCAAAAGGGTGTTTGTTTGCTTCTTATTCCTAAAGATGACATTAGAGCTCTTTTTCATTTATGACTGGTTACCATATTATTATTGCCCTCTTGAGTTCTCCAGTGCATAAGAGTTAGCATTACCACTCACAGAGGGGCACTCACAGACTCAGTAACAGAGCCTGAGGGGCTTATATGGCATCCGACAATACAACGTTCACATTTCTTATTAAGCTTAACTGCCCTTTATTTCAAATGGCTTTTAGTTCTTGATACTGTGCCATTTTCTTCATGAGAGCTTCAATGTCTGGCGGTCCTGAGCTGCTTTTATCGTGGCAGACGTGATTCAGTGAAATAACTCAGTCAGTCTTTGGCCTGAACGCCCCTATTGAAACGCGGGACGCGGGGGCTTTCTACAGACGAGGCTGCTCAATAAAGGCTTTTCTTAATTAAGCTTGTGCTCTTTAATTGCCTCTTCAGCTTGAAACGAAACCATCTCAGGTGACTCGGCATGCAGACGCTGTAGACATCGATTTCAGGGGCTTCACCCAGGAGCGCTCTCACTGTGTATAAGCAGCTGTCCACTCCAACACTGGGAGCACATGAGGACACACTTTGAATACAGCTCTAGATTTATCTTTGTCATTTTACTAAACTACTGAAATGTAATTAACAAATCAAATACTTCATTACTGTGAGTGAAGTCATACAGTGTAATGAATTGATCTGGAAATTCAACTGCATCCATTCTGGAATGTTAGAATCAATTATAATAACACTCAATAAAGTGTTAATTTGCCTTCATTTTTAAAATACAATTCTCTGAATACATTCAAAAAATTATTTTAAAAAGTTTATTATTTATTGATATTTATCTTCTACTATTTTATACAGTTTCTTCAGGCACATTTGTGAATGCACTGCATTTTTATAAATAATCTTAAATCATAGGAATATAATCACATTTTGTGAGAAACTGCAATAATTAAAACCTTTTTAATTACTTATCTAATTACATTCTGAATAATAGCACTATGCAAAAGCCAGAGAGCACCCTTCACATTTATCTTCCAGTGAAAACAGCCTTAAGGTACATTGTATTCATTTGTGTCAGGAAAAAAGCAGAAAACATATTTAACACAAAATTACATCGAATTCTCATCAACTAAATATAATATCTTTTTTTTCAGTGTCCACTCTTCACCTTTATTCCAGCTTCCAATCTTTTCAAGAGACTCACTTTCAGTTTATCAAAGAATCTGCAGACACACCTCCAAAGTTTATCATTTTCTGAAGTAATCAAACACATTCAGTGGTGTTGAGATCTGGACTCTGGGGTGGTCAGTCCATCGTTCAGCTTCTTTGTTTGATGTGTCCGTCTCCTTTTCTCTGTGAGGTTCTTCTTGATCAGCTACACATCCTTTCAGACCCACAGCGCTGAGTCGTCTTCTCACAGTGGAAGGATGGACAGAAACACCTGTGGATGTTTTCAGATCTGAAGCAGCTTGATTTTCTCCTCTCTCTCAGAGATGAAAGCTTTAAGTGCTGTTTATCTGATGGGGGCAGTGTTGGGGTCTACAAGGTCTTCCAGGTGGTTATTAGGAGTCTCATTTTCTCTATAGTTTTCGATCAGTTTTTGAACCCCAATTACAGAAACTCCTGTTTTTTTAACTTTTGACTTTATGCATATTTCTCATCTCCTCACAAATATCTCCTGTACAAGTGAACAAACTTGTACTAAATGGCTGTTTTGACTGGAAAATAAATGAAAAGCGGTCAGTTTATATAATCTATTGACAGGTTTGAATGTGCACTTGAGGGTTTTTGACGTCAAAAATGTCAAAAGTGTGGCAAAAACATTAAGAATTTTCTTTTTTTCTGCAAAACGTGACTACACACGCTTTTTCACCAAATTCAAATCATAATATCTCCCGCTTAGAAACACAGAAGTGGTCTTGACTGAAAGTTTAGAATCTGCACTTTCCACACAGTTTCTCCACTGGTTCAGTGAGCTACAAGTGGGAAATAATTCAACTTACAGTGTGCTTTTGTTACTGCTGGTGATAAGGGTTAGTCAGGCTCTGTGCTCCTTTGCTTCAGTAGAGTATTCTGTAACAGTGCGCACTGTGCCTGCCAAATGCACCCTGCTGACAGTTTCTCCAAAGACTTCCCCCAGCTTAATTAATTTGGGGTTTGGTCATAAACTTCAGTGTGGTGAGCTAAACAAACGAAGGGCAGTAACGGAGGAGCGCACAGCAGCTTTACAGTGTAGTTAAGTTCCCTATTAAAAATGAGAGCCTCAGAGCAGCAAGTGGGCAATTGTATGCAAATGGATCTATACAAATATTCTGAAATATTGATACTCCGCCTCCTCAAGTTAAGATCTCAATGGGACATGCTGTGAGAGTGTTTCATTCAGTCTTAAAAAACAGAGAAATCACTGCAGCCGCACTAAAATACACTGAAGAAAATGATTCTAATTATTCTACACAAGTAATTAAGTGCTTATACTAAATTATAATACTAAATTATATAAATTATTCAGTAACTAATATGAAATATTATGTATCTACTGTCAATTATTCAGTATTTACTATGACTTATTCCGAATCCACTATGAAATGGTATGTATTAGGGCTGTATGATATGCACATAAATAATTCTGTCTGATATCATGATGACGATATTAGAAGTGATAAATTAATATTAAAATAGTGCACCTCTGACTGACCTCTCCTCTAAGCAAATAGCAAAATACAAAATTACAGAAGTACCGTTCACTATTGTGCAAAATAAAAAGAAACAAAATACCAACAGCTGCGTAAATCAGAACTGCTAACATATTTTTTGTGCACTGATTGGCTGAGAAACAGTCAGCATCACCTCAAAGGTTACAAAAGCATAAATATATACATTTATTTTTATATAGACATACAAGAATAAATAAATATTCACATTGTTACAGTAGAAAAAACACTTCTTGGTGCTATATAGAACCCTTTTTTCAAAAACCATATACAACACATTCTCCATCAACCTAAAGAACCATTCACAATGCGAAGAACCCTTTAATCATGGAAAAGCATTCTTTGAATGTTCGAGGTCCTATATAGAACCGTTTTCTTTAGTGAAGAGCCCTTGAAGAACTACCTGCTTTACTTGTGTAGCTCAGGATGGAGTAGTATTTAAGCTGTGCTGTGTGTTTTGGAATTGGCTGTTTAGCCTAATGGTTAAGTACCTCGTCCTCCATGCGATCAGGGATCAAGCCTAGCACACTCGTTAGGCTTCTAACGGTTTGTGCTGTCAATGTAGTGATGTCTTTCTAGTGTTTTATGAGGTAATTTGATCTATGTTTTTATCTGTTCTCTTATGTTTATCACTGAAACTTATAACGATAAAAGAATGATTTATCATATAGTCTCAGCAACTATCTACTCTGAACGTTTAGAAACTAATGAGTATGTTCTGCAGTTATGACAGTGGGGAACTGAAGTGTGGATCCACATACAGACCCTTTAAAAGGTTATTTTTTTTAATAAATATAGTTAATAAGAATATGACATTTATAAATATGTCTTCATATTATACAGTGCTGAGGTGTTTATACGGTTATTGTTTATCCCTGTTCAATATTACACCAAAGTGAGTCACTGGAAAGTAATTTCCCCACGGAGAGAGAAAAATGCATTACTGCTACTACACTGTAGCATTAAAGACATCTATGATTTATAGTAATTTATTATAACTAAGTCAGAATCTTTATCATTTAAAGGGTAAGTGCATGGAAAAAAATAAGGCTAAGCATCAAACACAAGCTTTTCTCACTATTTGTATAGATTTAACTTTATTTACCATTATTTTGTGAATTTATCTTGTTTGCTGTCAGATAACTAACTCTTCTGCTTCTGAGCTAAAAACTACGAGGTTAAGTAAACTCTGATGTGCCTAGGCTAGTAATGTTAGCTGAGGTTACAGATGTAATAACTTCCGATTGGCTGCCTCAGTGTAAATTCCAAGGCATGTGCCACCTACAAAGGCCCTGTTTAATGTTTTGTTTTTCCGAAAATAATGCCTTACAAATTCAAATAGCAAATTCATCCCTAAAATTAACATGATAACAGAGGAAGAAATGAGCTACTCACTACTGGAATGTTTCATTGTATTTGGGTGACCAGTTGTTGTTCTTGGTTTTGGTGCTGAATTTGCGTTTCTTGTCGCTGAGGTGTGGTCCGACAGCGTTGACCTCCACAAAAGGCCGGAACATGGCGTTCGTCTGCCAGTTGATGTTGTTCACGCCCACCACTGCAAACGGAGGGATGGACACAGGAAATGAGTTGGGTGAGTCATTTAATACAGACAAGAAAGTGTAGCTCAGAGTGAAGCTTATCTGAGACTTGTAGTAGAAATACCTCTATAAAAAAAGCCTTCCTTATTTATAAAATTACATTTTGTTTATGCATTATTTAATTATTTTTTTGGTTTGTAAAAGCAGAGGATTGAAGGGATGCAGAAACATGCACACATCTTTTATTTTGTTATTTTGTCATTTATTTTGTAGCTGTCAATATTATTTTTACACCATCTGTAAACAGCAGCTTGTCTTTACATTGTGTGAACATTTTTATGATTGATGGACCAATAGAAATAGTCTAAATCTACTTGTAATAAAATCTTGTTCCATTAATATACATTAAAGTGTAACAGTTTATTTGAAGACTGCCTACATAAAGGCTTCATAACACATGCAACATATATTGAATATTTATAATTTGCTTATGACAGTATTCATACTAGAACATGATGCTTTATGAAGGAAATGCCACTTCATTCATAACACATGCAACATATATTGAATATTTATAAACTGCTTATGACTGTATTCATACTAGAACATGATGCTTTATGAAGTAAACGCCACTGCATTGATATAAGGGGCTTTAAACTAAAGTGACAGACACTTGTTTAGTTTATAACACTGCTATTAAATCATTCTCACATAACAGAACTTTCATGTGGCTGCAGACATGAACACATAACTCTGTGATGTCTTTAGTCACACAGGCCTCCTTAACAGAAACTGTTTAACAAAATAACATCTATAACAACTCAGAGTACTTTAACTTTCACTTTAGTACACTGAAAAGCAAGTCACTGTGCACTTAATGTACTCTAGTAGAAATACAGACAGAGAACGTCTTTTTACACAGGAATAATATTTTACCAAGAGAATTTCTTCTTCTATGTAAGCAGACGTTTTGTATGGGGATGTGTGTATTCATGCATATAGGAAAATATAAATGAAATTGCTCACTTATGTTTGAGAGCATCAAAATCTTCAAATGCTTTACTTTAGGGGTCCTTATGTTAATACAATGTCATTTACAAAATCTTGTCATGCTGTGATTACTGGCATAAGTTGTTAACAATAATTCAAGCATTGCTTTATAAATATTTTGTTCAAGCACAATATGTAGACAGTCATCAAATATGTACTAATTATGATGTATACTATAGAGCAGTGGTCTCCAATCCTGGTCCTGGAGAGCTGCCATCCTGTAGTTTAGTTCCCACCTGTATCCAGTAAGCTGCTCCGCCCCTTACATAACTCTAATACATCTTATCTAGCCAATCAGGGACTTGGGAAGAGGCTGATTAGCTGGAGCAAGTGAAGCAAATTGTGGTTGGAACTAGACTCCAGCTCTCTTTTCCTGTAAAGCTATCAGTTTAGAGAGAATTTAAGACATCGATGACGTAAACTTTGCAGCAGTGTTCACACACTGACAAGTCTGAGGTTTAAATTCAGTAGCAAACGGTAAAAATATCACCACACTTCCCATACTGCTTTAACAAATGCACTACGGTTAGCTTAGCATCCTTAAAAAGCAAAAAAACAAACTTACTAAATATGATGTACTACTGGTCCTTCAAACGCTTTTTAAACTTTTTGCTCTTACACTTTGTGGCCATATAGCATATGATGACTGCACCAGTGCACAGATAATACATTATTACAATCCAAGCAGTTGACACCAGACGGTATCAGACAGCTATCTTCGAAGCCCCAACCCAAATTTCCATAATATTTCAGCCTGTGTCCATTTCAATTCTGTGTTCTTTGAGCTTAATGGGCCAAAATCCTGTAGAACAGCTGGTGGTATCAGTGTAATGTCCTGAGTCCGGGTGTCATAAATAAACTCTGAGCATTAAGCTGGTTTTTGAAGCTGAAACTTGACTCATTCACTTCCCTGCGTGGGTTTCCAAAGCAATGTAGTTTTATTGAAGCTCATCTGGAGGCGGTGCTGCTTAACAGAGGAGTTCACATAACGACACGGCGTAAAGGAAGTTTAAATAGCGCTTGTGTCATTATCTCTGTAATAAAATAATAACTCTAACGACCACTTCTAAATCATAAAACATCAGTGAAATGAACTCAGTTAGGGAATCTAATAAGGATGCACTGTGATTTGGCTTGAAGTAACTCTTCTTTTAGAGACAAAGATTGTTGGTGAAGCTGAAGGGTTTGTTAGTAAATTGTGGAGTGCTGTGCACTGTGGAGAGCTCTCACAGGAAGACGGGCCTGGGTTCGATACCCCGGCCAGGCGACCAGGGTCTCTTCTGTGTGGAGTTGGCATGTTCTCCCCATGTCTATGTGGATTTTCTCCGGGTGCTCCGGTTTCCTCCCACAGTTTAAACCCATGCAGTTAGGCCATCTGGAGACACTTAAATTGACCCTAGATGTGAGTGTGTATGTCTGTGTGTCTGCCCTGTGATGAACTGGCGACCCGACCAGGGTGTATCCTGCCTTCTGCCCAATGAACGCTGGAATAGGCTCCAGCTCCCCCACGACCCAGAACGATAAGCAGCTTAGAAGATGAATGAATGTATAACTAACTCTGCTAATTGTCCCACTGGTTTGTGCTGTTGAGAAATGTGAACAATCAATATAAAAAATGTTTGATTTTGATATGTATCGTTATTGTTTTGTTGCCCAGGCCTACTTGTGTGTGACTACAACACTGTTCTAAAGTCAGAGACCTTTATTTATTTAATTTCCAGTCAAAACAACTATTATGTACAAGTTATTCATTTGTCAGGAGACATTTTTGAGAAGATAGATATAAAATAACCGACTGCGTATATCATTACTGTCATAACAAATCCAGAATTTCCAAAATGTTGCTGGCATTTCTTTAATTCATTTTTTTTAATGATATGAGTTTTGACAATGATGATCTGTGTATCCTTGCATTTGTGTTTTGTGTTTTTGGGCTTACCCTTCACGCTGACTTTGTGTTCGCCGGTGCCTGGGTGAGAGATGAGATCCACCTGCATCTGCAGCTCCCCCACCGAGCTGGCCGTCGACTGACCTGCCACCGCACACAGAAATCTGATAAATGACTCAAACAACCACGCAATGACCAAAGATCAGAGAAAAACGACAGAAAACTGATAAACATCTCACTGTGCACTCATCATCCTGGGACTTCACACCCCACTACAAGGCTGAATGAATGGCTTACCAAGCTAAACGAGTTCGAAAAGAGAATCACTGGGCTTAATAATTCTTTGCAGTAGTTTTGTAATATTCCACCCTGAGAGCAGCCACATCTAAAATGCATCTTAAATAAACAACAAACTCTGAGGTCTACAATTCAGAAGGATGTGACCTGTATGACCTCATTAAAGAAAACATATAGCAAGGACTGACCTGGATCCACATCCATACAACACAACCTTTATTTATCAAATAAAGCACACCCTGAGGACTGACCTGGACTGAGATATAAAAGGAAAAAATGTATCCTCAATATATCAAATCTAAAAACATGTCAACTATTGACCCAAAGCAGGTGTACCAAGAGCAAACACCAGTTACCCCATGGTAACATCAATAAAAACAACATTCAGTATATTTCTTAGTTAGTTATCCTATTCTGCAGCTGTGCTCACTGCCCCCTAGTGTGTGTGTTCACTAGTGTGTATGTGGTGTTCCACTGCACGGATGGGTTACATGTGGAGGTGAAATTTCCCTGCTGTGGGACTAATAAGGGTCACTTAATCTAATCTAATCTAATCTAACCTAATCTAATGTAATCTAATGTAATCTAACCTAACCTAATCTAATGTAATATCTTCTATTCTAGTGTATATGAGTGTTTATTCAGGTCATTTATGGACTAATATCTTCTATTCTAGTGTATATGAGTGTTTATTTAAGTTGTTTATGAACTAATATCTCCTACTCTAGTGTATAAGAGTGTTTATTAAGGTTGACATTGACTATTATATCCTGTTCTAGCGTATGGGAGCGTTTATTGAGGATGTTTATGTTCTAATATCTCTTGTTCTAGTTTATAAGAGCGTTTATTGAGGCTGGACTAATATCTGCTATTCTAGTGTAAAGAAACATTTATTTAGATGAGATGCACTTTGGGGTGAATACAAGATGTTACTGTCAAAAACGATACGATCATGTGAAACGCAAAGGAATGCAAAAGCTGTCAGACCTTAATAGACACCTTTAGAAGTCATGCTTATAGCAGTAAAATACAAAAGCATGCTGCAGTGTTTTATGAATTATTTCTGACCTGTAGCTCATAGAAACAACTGGAGAAACTCTGTGGAAAATGTGGATTACAAACTTTCTATCCATACCCCATTTAGGTTTGTAAGTAAAAGATATTTCATTGTGATTTGATGAAAAACTGGATGTGCACAATCAAACCTGTAGATGCAGAATGTAAATCAAATGTAAACGTAATTTAAATTCAGACTATGCGATTAATTATAGTGTATTTCTGTTAAAATAATTATGCGAATTGAATGTACAGCAAAACGGCAACAGCTCTAGACTTCTAAGGGTTAAAAGTGTTTTGATGGTCCTTTACCAAGCTGTTAAAGCAGTTACTATGAAGTGGAAGGGATGTGATTCCTCTCAGACCCTGTCTAGATCAGGGTCATCGAGCAAGCAGGAGGTTAATCAGAGGCTATCGGCAGGTCAACAACCACTCAGAATGAGCTGAAGGCTTCAAGCACCGAGGCTGCTCAAAGTGAGCGGTGGATGAAAACATCTCAAATAACCAATAAATATGGCCGGTGTGTTACGAGGGCCTAAAGGATGTCACTGCTCGAGATGCCCCGGGGAATAAGTTTGGTACATAATGAGTTCAGCAAAACATCAGATTCACAACTTCCCTCTTACATCAAATATGGTCAATCAGCCAAGACATGTTTGGTATCTGATGTTTGCTTCTTTAGTTTATACTGGAACTGCAAGGCTAATGTAGCTAATAAGTAATGGAAGCTTATGCATCACTACATTTATGTATTCTTTTATCCAGAGCGACTTACAGCTTAATCACATTACAGAGAAATCACTGGTATAGGACAGGGGTCGGCAACATGCATCTCCAGATAACATTGATAATTTGGAGATGAATGGACTTGAATGAACGGTCCCGAAGCTGAAGACAGCTTCTCTTTCGCCAGCTTCTTGTTTGAATTTTCACGTTCCACCTTAAATGGTGCAGCAGTTGCATTCTGGCACCTCAGGCGGCTTTTAAGGTGGCATGAGAAAATTCGAACAAGAAGCTGGCGAATGAGAAGCTGACTTCAGCTTTGTAAAAGGTTGAACATTGAGAAACATTTTACACAGAGCTAGTTTACTTTTGCAAAAAAGTGTCCTGCTGGAGAAGCGAGAAAAGCAGCTATAGCAGAGCTAAAGCTTAAAGTACAGCAAACGTTTTTGTTTCTATTGTATTTTTTAGTCTATACTAGGACATTAGCTAGCACATATAAAGACATATTTTCAGCCAATATGGTAAAACATTACTTCAATAAATGGACATAAAATCTTGTGGCTCCCAAGGTGGTTTGATTTTGGTTCAAAGAACAAAATGGCTCTTCTTAACAGCTGGGTTGCAACCCCATGATGTTGATTTTACCCAAGTGGTGAATCAAACCCTAGTCTGGCATGTGCAGGGCAGCAGTGTTACCCACTACGCCATACCAACTGCTCACTACATTGTTCAGTAATCTCGTAGACTCCCAAACATGGATGGCTGTGGCATCACTGGGGATCAAACTCGCAATTTCCCTATGATGAAGCAAATGTAAACTATCACTCTGAGCAAGAAAATGCATGATCAGGAATATACTTCACACTTCAGTGGCATTTTATAGTTAACATGATTAAACAAAACAATAAGCACTTCTATAGTGATATGAACAGAGTGTTTTTGCATGCTCGCTCAGAAACTATTGCAGAGCATGGAGGTGCTTTTATAAAGTGATAGCAAACACAGTTGTGCACTGAAAGCTCTAAATACACATGCTGATATATTTTACTGACCAATGTGGACGTGCATGCTCTCTCACTACTCTTAGAGGCAGATTTTAATGAATTAAAGAGGATAAAGGCTTGGAACAGATAAAAAGCTCAATAGGGTTATATTAACTGAATTTAACACAGTGAGAGGATGTCTGTAGATGTGAAATGTGGTATTTGGTGTGCAAATTCTCTGGGGAAATACATGAATGTGCAACAAGGTATTAAAAATAGGTAGAAAAGGTGAGCACATTGACATTCTGAACAGTCCTTCAATTCTTGTTCAGTAAAAGGTACCCGGAGCCTCACTGAGCAAAATATACAAGATTCCTTGGCTAGATGGAACAGGAACATCGCACACGCTCTCATATGTAGAAAGAAAATACTAAAGTACCCTGCTGCTCTGCCGGGACAGGCGAGCTTGTTTATATTCTGCCCGATCCATAATTACCCAAACAAGCCGCACTTATTATAGCCGATCACAAAAGAACAGGAGGATTTATGAAGATGACAATCAAATGCGGGAAGGGGAAGAAAAATAAAGACGCACATAAATTAAGCTGTGAACCAGGGGAAATAAACTCTGAGCAGCACTGCAATCAGCACAAGGCTGGAGCATTTTTATGCTGAATTACGACTGAGACTTCAGACAAAGCAAATGATGCAAACTGTCAACTGCATTTCAAACACTGCATGAAATTTAACAGAGAAGGGAGAATATCTAAGACGGCTCTGTTGTGATCTAAACCTTAACCTATTGAGGCAATTCACTGTGATTGCAGCATCAAGTTCTAGTTAAATGGTGAGGCTGTACTCTGTTTAACTTTTTTCACAGCAGCCATAAAATGCAATTTCTGCCGGTTTTGGAGAGTCTTCAGACAAACTACGGATTTTGTAAACTATTGTTGTCTTTGTAGTTTTATAAGCTTTATTAAAGTGTTTTGTGTTTAAAAGCTGTGTGTTTGTTGTGTCAGTTGTGCAGGATTGATATGAAGGAAGCAGCAGTTGTCTGTTTTATCTCGCCACAGCCGTCTTTGTGGAGAGGTGTCAATTGTTTTTCACAGCACCTTGCCCCACTCATTGCTCGCTAGCAGCTCAATGCAAATTCACAACGATCCTAGTCCATTTGATAACAGAGTTACAAGGACAAATATTTTATTTGATTACGTTAATTAACAATATCCGGGTCAAGTTCCAGTCAGCGGGCAGGATGACCACAAGGGGGCCTGCAGAAAGTGGCTAACTTAGCGATAATTTACTGTTGTATATTATAGAGCAGAGAACTTGTAGAGAGGAGAACTACCCCTTCGTAATGTCTTCTGGGTTTCTCAAACACTAGAGGGCACTCCAGAGTAAGTCCAAAATGAATAGGTTAATATGGAGCATGTGAGCAAAATCATAGTTAAAAGAATGCATTAATATCCTGAACAGAGAACAGCATAAAACATTTTAAGGAGTTACAGGAGTTTAAAACAGCGCCTCATATACGTCAATGACATCAGTGAGCATGAACAGCCAATGAGCTGCTCTGCTCGCCAACCAATCAGCACTCAGTAGCTGTAACGCTAACCAATCAGCACTTAGTAGCAGTAATGTTAGCAGCCTGCTGCTGAAAACCTGTTTGCTGCAGAAAAAAGGAAACATACAGGTGAGTTTTCTTTGCTTTTTTAGTGAAATACATCCTTCTACTTTCTAAAATTAAAGGAAAGTTCTGGACAAGTGATTAAAAACTATTTTTTTAATCACTTGACGACTCGCTCGCGGGTGCCCTCTGCTGTTTTGCAGTCCTGTTTTTTATATAACAGTGGAAATAGGAAGTGGCTAGGCTCCTCATAAACCGGCTCTGTTATAGAGCTCGTAAAGACACGCTGACCTTTCAGGCAATTTACACTGACCGTGCATTTAATTAGAAACCCCTCTCTTGTAGTTCCACGTTACTGATGTATAGTTAGAGATTTTACACCATCTGTTGCCGCACAGTTTGTAGTAGCCCTCCTGTAGACCTTCTACCATCGCTCTGTAATTTTTTATGATGGCAGA